CAAGTCATAACACCCCACAAGCGAACATCACCAACATTGCCTGGCGATCCATCGGCTCAGGCAAAGAAGATGATTGAAAACTTAAATCAACTCCAAACATAAATGTGGAGGCCATGGCTATTAGGTTTGAGGCCATTGCTAGTAGGTTCTATTAGACCTGAGGGCGTGCAATCCGGACACTGAAAGACACTCAAAGCCACTCAGGACACTGGGTGTGACACATAGGCCAGCCACTCAAGGACCCGCATACTTTCTTTCTTAGCCCACTCTGCCCCCCCCTACTACTTGATTAAGTAAGGGCCAACTAGCTGCTCCTAGCTACTGGACGCAGGATAGCTCGCACGACTCATTTGGTCCCTAGATTTCTTGAGTGGCTGGCATCCTTGAGTATCCTTGAATGGCTGGTTCTTGTCCAGCTTTGAGTGTTCTTAGTCCCTCTCAGAATGACCCCGGATTGCACATCCTCGAGAAAATCTGGAAAATTGCCCAGCAGTCTTGTCGGGGCAAACTAATAGATCGACTTTACATGTTCCTACCCTGACATTGTGGTTATGGGCCTAGCCTTACTTGTTTCTTCCAAGCTCAGAGATGGGCCTTGGAAGGTTCCAAGCCAAAGCAGCAAATTCATGCGCTCCTCCCAGACACCCCTACTGGCCACATTAGAAACAAGTGCCACGCTAGTAGTAACAGGTGCCTTACTAGTAGTAACAAGAAGCTAGTAGAAACAAGTGCCACGCTAGTAAATGCAAAAGGACATGTCTACTGAGAGGCACTCAGTGCAAAACACGACCGGTGTCATTGTCCTGCACCCTTCTCCAGGACAGCATTGCCTCAAAAGTCCAAAGGTCCACTGATTCCAACATTCTTTGGACACCCCAAAGTAAGGACTTGAATGAAAAAAAAGAGGAACACTGTTGAGAAAACAGCTAGCATCCGTTGGAAGAAACATGAAGCAACACTCTGACTCACATCCTATGCCCTGACTTAATCGTCTCGAACAAGAGACAAGACTACGATCAGATTGCTTGGAGAACATGAGGAGGACAAGTCAGATAAGACTCAGCGAATCGCTGCGGTAGCTGCATAGATAGAGCTTGCAGATCACAGCGGCACCCTTCAACACAAATCCCTACAGTCTCCTCAAATCTTTCTCAGAACCGGAAAAAACATGTGACAAGGGCAAAGCAAGTGCAGCATTGCAGAATACCTATACTACCTTACCTATACCTCTTCATACAATATAATAACACATATTTACACATGATATTATGTGCATATATGCTATATCTTCCTAGTCTCTGTGTGTGTGAAGTTTGTACAGTTTCTTGCAGCCTTTCCGGTCAAGTTGGGATTGCAAGTGCAAACATTCGACAAGTCACTTTCTCACAAACAACTATCATGACCCATGCCAGTGGAGCATGGCGAAACAGAGCGAGTTGTTGGATTCCAGGTTGAATTGGGATTCTCCAAAGTTTATGCTGTTCGTCGAGAAAACAAAACTTTAAAAAGAAAGACTGTGTACATCAAATCATGTCCACGTCATGACTCAGCTTTGCCTCACCAAGGGCCCAGTCTTGGCAGCATCCACTCCGTGCGCAAAGCGCTGCCTGAGAAAGTGGTCGAACCGGAGGTCTTAAATGGTCGAACTCGTTCGAATTGGGAATCCAAATGAATCCAAATGACCTCCAGTCAAACGGGACCTTCTGAAATCAATAGAAACAAACCAAACTTTCTAAACTTTGATTTGATAAATCAGTTGATCTTTCAAATCATGTTTAAATCTATAAATCCATATTTCATGAATGTGCTTTACCAAAATTTCTGTTTGACCTCAGACGACCAGCCTGGACATTGAAGGCAGTGGATATCTGTGGAAGCAATGGTCCCAGAAAGCTCCACCAGGGCCAGGTTCGGAAAAGCACCTCCACTCGGAACGCCCACGTCTCGACACGTCTCCACTCGGAACGCCCTCATCCCTTGTTTTATCAACTTCATATCTCTTTGGCCACTAGAATGCTACTAGGGGCTCCTGGCCGTACTACTAGGAGCAAGGACACTACTAGGAGCAAAGGGCATCGCTACAGGAGCAAGGACGCTACTGTAGTAGGGGCGCTCCCCACATATCTTCTCCGTTTGTCTTGCTGTGGTCATGGTCGACGAGTCAGATCCTGTGATATCCATTGAACTGACCAGATCGATATTTTATATAACCAGTAATTTAAGCGATCCGAGTGGTGCTGCAGATGCTTAGGGTAGGAGGTCCATAGTCTACACTGTCTACGCTGTCTACACTGTCTACACGTCACACCACCTGCCTGTGTCTCAGTTGCCTGGGCAGCTGGCATGCTTGAATCCCCTACTGTCTACTGTCCACGGTTGGAGCTCTGTGTCTTGATCTCGACCCTTGAGACGATGCAGTTCTTGCGAGACGTCGCTCATGGTGACAGTTCTTTTTGAGACTGAGCACTGTCAACCTGAGTCCCGGGCTTTGACCCAACTCTCCATGAGATCCCTCCTGAGATCATTGTGCAACTCCTGGAACGAAGCAGATGTGATGTGAGATGTCTGCTTTGATATTCGGTCATACGATCTACAGTCTACAGATTGACCCCTCCATCTTCACAGCCTTTCAGTTTAAAGGTAAAGGTGACTGTTTGAATTCCAGCTCTCGTGTGAAGACACGTGAAGAGTTTTGCATAATCTTGAAATCAGTCCCGTTGTGATGCACTTTGACTGGTCTTTGGACGAGTTCCTCGACTTGCTGCAGAGCATCCTCAAAGCTGACCTTCAACGTCGCCTCTTCAGTGACAGTCTCAGTTGCAAAAGACGTTGAAATGATGGAAAAGCGTGACGGAATGAGAGGTGAGGTGCATATCTCCATATCTCTCCTACTTCTCCTACCATGTTGCTTTCCATCTTCCTCAAGTGTCCTCAATTTCAAAACCCAATCCCAATCAGTATTTGGGTGGATGGAGCCTTCGCCACCAGTCCACTTCCCGCGCTTCGTCCTTGCTCCTAGTAGTACGGCCAGGAGCCCTAGTAGCGTCCTTGCTCCTTGCTCCTAGTAGTAAAGCCAGGAGCCCCTAGTAGCGTCCTTGCCCCAAGATGCTATTTCCCAAATCGAAGCCTAAAAGGGAGAGGCTGCTGTGGCTGATCCAAACCGGCCTTGACTTCGCTGCAAGATAGTTCAGGGATGGTCCATGCTCGCCAGCCCTGGCGAAGTCACGGCTCGAGTCAAAGAAGAAGACCGATCCCAACAGATTCAAATACACGGAGGATAGGAGCAAGGACGCTACGTTCGGGGCTCCTGGCCTCACTAGGAACAAGGAGCTATTAGGAGCAAAGGGCGTCGCTACGAACGGAGCAAAGGACGCTAAGATGGGATCCAAACAGATCGAGTTTGATACAAATCCAATATTGGGTGAGTGGCAATAAGGAAGATCTGAGATAGGCGGTCCTCCACGCCGAAAGTCATGAAGCACCATGGCAAGATGAGGCTGTTATGGCAACGTGGAACAACGGCGTGTTGTTTTCGCGACGAAACATGTTGAATCCTACGATCTAATCTGAATCGTTCACTGCGCAAGCGGCGACGCTGACTACTGACTACTGAAAAGTGCACCAGGTTGCAAACTTCTTAAGACATTAAAATCATTTGACTGCTTCGCATTATTTGCAATTTCTGCTGAAAGCCACAAGGGACTTTGGACAAATGAACCTGTGAGACATAATTTCCGCATCAAAACACATCTTCCAAAACACCTATATGGTCAGTCAGGCAGTCAGTCAGGCAGTCAATACATCACTTCGACCCTCCGAACGTCTTCCGATATTTTGGCGTCAGCCGCTCACAACCTGTCCTGGCCCGAAAATCTCCGTGCAATGCACACAGGGTAGGACGGGCAAGCCTTCGAAATGCCGCTCTGCTTGGACCCAAATGGAGCAACTTTGCAAAAATGAGATATACCTCTGGTGTGGAAAGGCCGCAAATTCAAGAGGTTGGCTGACGGCTAGACTACTAGTCATAGTCATATTCCCAAAACTCTACGAATTCAAAACAAATGTCGACAATTGGTACAGTGGGTTGGCAGAGGTATCTCGCCGAGCTTGGCATGGAAGGAGCCCCAGCTTGGCTCGCAGGCCTCGCTTGGCTCGTCCCCCACGGAAAAAGGTCCTTGGAAAGCTCGGGGCGTTGCACTCATGTCGGCCGCCTGGGGCGAATTCCTCCGCAGAACAACTTGCAAAAAGGGTGGGAAAGCCCTCGAAACGACGTTCTGAGATCAGGTCGTTCTTGCAGTCCTTTTTTCTGGAGCAAATGTTCAATCCTTCTGAAACTAATCGATACATTCGGCGCAAGTTGCTGATCTTGTCCTGGAAGATGTTCGCCTTCTTCCAGTACCAAGTGGTATGCGACTGACATGCGAAAAGCGCATTGGCTGCCACAAAGTCCAGCTGAAATCAATGAATGCCCTATCGAATTGAGCCATGCAGCTGGTTCACAAGACCCTGGCTGGCTGGTGCCCTTTCGACTGAGAACAGAAGACCAGAAAGACATCAAATTAAGGACCATCAGCATCATGGTTGACAACACTCACTGCTTATTCTCAAAGTTGTTTTCGCATGTGAGAGAGTCTGAGAGCACTTTAACATCATGTTCATATCCCCGCCATTGCTGCCGACTCATGTCCATGTGACAGTTCCTCAGTGCTTGGTTGAATGAATATATTGATATTGATATCAGTTCATATCAGTTCAGCCTTAATCTCGATGATTGAAGTTTGGCAAGTTCAAAGATGTAGCCCAAATTGGGCGTTCGACTAGCTACTTACTGTCTATAGATAGCAAGTCAAAGTGGGAAAAACAAAATAATAGGAATGTTCATCTGTATACTTTTGATGATCTTGTTGGTCGCTTACATTTGGCATGGATATGTGTGGGTGTTTTCTCAGCTGGACTGGCTTGACCGCCGCCGAAAATCGTGCAACCCCATTCTGGGCGCTTCAGTGACGTCTGGAGCCCCGACCCAACCTGTCAGCGCGAACAGCAACACCCAACTCATGCTGACACGGACACATGTCTAACCTGTGTCAACACCATGTCATTTGCAGACTTTTTGCAGAGTTTCAGAATGCATCGCACTGTATCCGCCTGAATTCATCAAAGCCTAACCAGCAGCATTAAGCCATCTTGATTTCTGAGGCTGTGACAGAAGACCGGTGAGGAAGGACACCACACTAATGAGCAAGACAGACATCGGAAACCGTCCTGAGGCAAAAGGTCCAACTGGGACACGGCAAACCCAATCTGCTGTGGGTCATGTCATCCCCGAACTCTCTTGTCGAGCTTTTCTTTCGAAGTCTTCACTCGCACGATCTCGGAGATGGCACAAGTGACCAAATCCTTACAAAGGAGATGGCACTTGGTGATTGCACAATTGTTGCACTTGGTGACACGGCGCACGTTCCGTCGTTCCGTCAGAAGGGCAGCCACCGCAGGAGGCGCTCCCGCAAGCGAATCGCCAGCCACCGGATCCCAGAGATGCGAGCTGCCAACGTTGAGGTGTAGGATGACAAAAATCGCAGACAGCAAAAGAAGGGAAGTGGCTTGCAACACCTCTTTTGCATTTGTTTGATTAGGCCACTTTCTGCCCAGAGAGATGAGTGAAATGGAATCAAACTAAAGTTTTGGTGTCTTCACATCTATTCCGCTTGGTGAAGTCTCCCCTGCCATCCGACACAAATAAATATACACACCCAGCCATGCAACGGCACCTCGAACCAACTCCAAAACCCCTGACCGCCATGAAACAGCAAACCAAGCTCTTCAGCCGTATAGAGCATACCCGCCCCGGTTTGGCCTGGCAGAATCAGGATCTCTTCGCTCACCTGGCGGGACAAGTTGGAGACGGAGCTCCAGCGGCGCTCGGCGGACGACCAGCGGTCCTCCTGCGGGCGGCGGTTTCGCGGGGAAAGGAGTTTGGCGGGATCGGAGCCAGAGGGTATCTTCAGTCCCAAGTCTGTCGAGTTACTGACAAGTTACTACAGAAGCTCTCGTTCGTCCACCGTCAATCATCAACCATGTCACCACTTTTTTGACAGGTCGTCGGGTTAAACCGAAACAGGTCAAAGCCACATGTCAGCGTGTCAGCTCTCCTCCCCCTGCTCCACCAGCAGGTCACTCACGCTGAGGGACCTTCCGCCAATATCCCTTGGCAAAGAGCAAAGTGCATCGCTGATGCAAATTCTCACTGTTTCGCATGGGATCGTTACTTGCAGGGTTGTTTCGCTTGGGTCTTGGCACAAGTCCGCGGACAGGTTGTTTTCTCTTCATGATTTCGACCCAACCACATCTACCGTAGAAGTGCTTTGAAGGCTGCAGGATGCTGCGGGGTTGGGCTGAACATCGTTTGCAAGGCAATCCTAAGGCTGCCAGTCTACCATCCCAACAAATAAAACCCATGTGGTGCAGCTGGGTAGAGAGGCCCCTGAATCCCAGCCACCTACATCACACCCCGAAATAACCCAAGTATCCAGTAAAGAACAAATCCATAAGCTCCATGAATATGCAGAAAAAAATGAATAACTATATATCGTAGGGCAGGTGAAGGGAAGATCAGAAGAAAGAGGCCGTCCTTTGCCCGATCTTCCCTCCGTGCACCGTGCGGCAATGGTCGCCCACCGCTCCGTGGCTCCAGCGCCGACGCTCTGGCAGCCCAGCGGACCAGCTGCACCGAAAGCCGCTTCTCGGGCCTCCAACCGTTCGTAGCGTCCGATCGCTCCGTTCGTAGCGATGCCCTTTGTTCCTAGTAGCCTCTTGCTCCTAGTAAGGCCAGGAGCCCTAGTAGCATCCTTGCTACTAGCGATGGCCTCCACCACCGGAAGAAGACGGTCCTTCGATCATCCCGTCCGAAAAGTGTCTGCTCGACGCGTCCAACTTGTGCAACGTCAGCTTCGCCGACCAGACGGCCAGCCCAGACTTGCTCCAAATGCAGACAGGTTGCATTCGCCACACAACAAGATCTTCGACCCTCAGCGTTGTTTTGGTCTTCGAGTCTTCCAGTTCCACGAAGTCTTCATTTTTGCGTCCAAGAAGCAACTCTTCTCCGCGAAAGTATTGACCAAACTTGCCTTAGGGTAGGATGCAGAAAAAGAAGGAACTCACTCTAGGAGTTGCAAGCTGACAGGATGAGATTCTGCGCTGCCTCTTGAGGCTCTGGACAAACCAGAGATGACCGTAGCGAAATGTTCCGAGGCCGAGTGCTCTCAGAATTTTCTCCACCACCCAGAGCACCGAGGGCAGTGTCCTTTCTTGGAACTCCAATGGGGTTGACAGTCACCTGTTGACACCTATGAATGCAGGTAATTAGGTGACACACGGTGACACCTGAAATGATTTCAGACGTTAAAGTAAAACCAGCTGCTGGTGGCATGTTGACGAAGACCAGCAGCAGCGATGGAGAGGGCACCCTGTGCAAGCTAAGCTCGGTGGATTGTTTCAGAGTGCACATTGCTGTAAAAGCTGCAAGTGCACAAAATAGATGCATGGTTATTTAGGAATTATGTGAGTAATATGCTGTTGTGTGAGGTTTTGCTCAGGATTTGGGCATGCATCTCACAAGTGTTCCCTTTGCCTCTGCCGTCGTCCGGAAGAGACACATGCGCACGGGCTTTGATAAGAACCAAAGCCTCAAAGGCACCAGGAATCCGGGGTTCGTGAATTGCTTTCTTCGCATGGAAATCCCCAATTGCGAGGCCAAAAGACAGGTCTGGCACCTCATCGCAACCAAACCTGCGACGCGAAGAGCAACAGGCCGGCCAGACTCTGCGGCTAGATGTTGGAGGGTAGAAGCACTGCCACGAAAAGAAGAAGTTCATATAATGTGGACTGCGAAAAAATGATCACAAGCAAGCTGGCCAAAATGCCTAGTGTCTACTTTGCCAGGCGAGACTGCATGGGCGTACAGTTCTCCTCAGTTGGTGCCGATCGTGCTCGCACTGATTTGTGGAATGACCATGCACTTGCATGGTGAGATTAAATATATATATATACATATATAGCAAATAAATACAGTAAGCAAGAATCTCAAGGAATTATAAAGAACGGGCTAAGTAGATCAAATGAGTGCAGAGCCTGTCTGGTCTTGGGGTCCAAGATTCCCTTCAGTGCCAGGCTCTGGGAACGCACAGATGTCCAAAGCAGCAAAGCTCTCCTCCAGAACTCAGGAGAGCTCGGGCGATCGCCAGATATTGCAAGATTTAACAGTTTATAACAGTGTATTAATTATCTGGAAGGGGATGTGCAGGAAATCAGCTACTCTTCACACAAATGTCAAGACAACTTGTTCTTCTCTTTCCGGGCCATGAAAACTCCACCAGCATTTCACTTCTTCTCCAGGCAGTCGCCCGATGTGCCGAGTTGCTTAGAGTCCGCGTAGTCATGACCCGTCGCTTCCACTCCAGCTGGCAGATCGCCCGAGCTTCAGAACGTAAGACGATCTACATGCACTCAAAATAAAAACAAAATTAGATTGGGTGTCCATGGAAAAAGGCAATGGTTGGACTAAGTGTCATTCAAATTCAACTGTTATCTCTTCATTCCCAATCATCTAAGCCATTCTAAGCCTAAGCCAATCTATTCATCTTCGATCCCAGCTTCGGATGAAATCCCGTTCTGAGCGGCGCTAGCCTTCGAGGGAATCCAAGAGCACCTTGTTGAGGTTCGACTCCGACTCATGGCCACTGGCCACATTGATGACGCTGGCAGGGTACTGGACCTCATCCTGGCCATTCAGCCACACCTTTTGCAACAAATGAGGTAGACATGTGCAAAAATGCAGAGAGAGAGAGAGAGAGACAGAGAGAATGACAGAAAATGTGTATATGACAATGAGTACTATGAGTACAGTGAAAGTGAGTATTATTTTGAGATATTTTGAGTGTATGATATGTGTTGAACTCAAAAGAGATATATAATGTTACATAGAGAGAAACTTTGAAATGGAATGAAGCGAACCTGGTGGAGCCTGTCTGTCAGACCTGTTTGTGCTGGACGCGGGCATCGAATCAGGCAGCCGGACCCGCTCACGACGTCGGGCCAGGAACTCCGTCAAGAGGAAAGGCCCCAAGAAGTTGATCTGCCAGGTGCGGCCAGTGCCTCGACCCAACAGAACCAGCTCCTCTCGTCTAAAAATGATCGTCGCCTTTACGCGAGGGCTTTGGCTTTGGCGTTTGTCCTTTTTGTGTCCTTTGGCGAATTTCGAAGGTAACAAGAGTGACAACCTGGAGATGTGAAAAGACCCCATAGCAGACGTAGCACCCAGCACCCACAACTCTGTATGATCTCGAGCGCTTGGCGGTTCTCAAGCTATCCCATTCGAGCGGCCGTACTTTGTTCGATCACCTTCATGTCTTTCCTGGCAAGATGGGTTTGTCTGAAATAGTCTTCAAAACCATTGAACGCAAGAGCAGCAAAACACGCCACAGTCCGTATCTTTCTGCCCCCCCAAAAAAATGCAAAATCACGGCGCATATCGCGTGATTCAGGGGTCCTTGTAGCCGGCGTTGTTGACCAACATGCGCAGTCCGGGCTTGCCTTCTCTAAGAAATTCATGCGCCTCTTCCTGAGTTGCCAGTGCAAAACGAGGGCTCACACCTGTTTTTGCTTCGCAGCAAAACTGTTCTGTTTGTCAAGGAACATTCACACATCGAACTCAACACAGGCCCATGCAGTCAATGGAAAATAAAAGACTGTTTGGAGGCCCCGCTGGAACGGGTGGGACTCTCCAAGGCTCAGCGAAGCGCTGCACGGAGTCAAAGTCCAAAAGCTCCAAGTTGGAAACTGCGCCGACGGCCGGGGCGACGCCCGGTCTTGCAAAGCCGCAGACGTTTCTTTTGGCCCGTCAGAGAATGTCGGAAGGTCGGATTGGACAATAGAATATAGACATAGAGTGACAATGAGTGACATATATAATTATCATATCTAGTATTATATTTAGTGATACATACAAGGGTAACATGAGGATGTGCTTGATCATACTTGGATCATCTTGGATCAAACTGGAGTGAAATTGGAACAATGAGATGCAAGAATATGCGAGACTCGAATCTGTTTAGGACTAACATCTTCTTTTCCTTCTTCGGTGGGTTGGATACCGTTAATTTGCCCACTGTCCAATGAGCTTTAAACTCGTGCGAGCCACCTCTCACTTCTGGCACAAATCCATTCAAGGCACTTGCGGTCTTCGCGTCGCTCCCAGCTTCTGCAGCACTGGTCGATAGACAGCCCAGCAGCAGTGAAACCCTGCTGTGACGGAGTAGCCGGGCAAGTTCCTGTCACGCACTCCGAAACCATTCCTGTTCTTGTTTATATACATACATGTCAAGAGCACTGTCTTCCGCTTGCTGATTTAAAAATTCACTCCTAACCGTTCGACTGCAAAAGTCCTTGCCAATGCCCCTGTCCGCACCAGTGATCACGACTCTCCCCTGGCTGTCAGACTAAATCAGCAAACTTCTTTGGCGTTTGTGGAGAATTATGGAGAACCTTACAGTAAAGCGGCCTCTTCATCCTCTTTCCTAGGTTGGAGGCCATCGCTATTAGGTTGGAGGCCCTTGCTAGTAGGTTGGAGGCCATCGTTATTAGGTTGGAGGTAAAGGGGCCTCTTCATCCTCTTCCCTACTGCAGTTCTTCATTCGGCCTCTGCCCCCACGTGCTCCTCTAAGAGTTCTTTGAGACGCCTCTCGGCACGCCACCGTCGCCACCAAGGCTCCTGGTTTCGAACACGACCAGGCCGAAGCTGACGCCTTCGTTTTTGCTCCGCTCAGTCCACAGCACTTAATTAAGTAGGGGAGTAAACTCCTATTAGCTACTTAAGCTACTAGTATGGACGCAAGATAGCTCACACACTAATAATTTTGTTCTTAAAATCTTTAGAGAAACTTAGACTATCTTACTTAACAAACTGCACAGTAACGCATAGCAGAGCTGAGTTTACAATATCTAAGAAATTCTCACAATATGCCTTCCAGCTCCCATGTATCCATTTCCCCAAGGCACGAACAGCAGGGCCACTCCCAGGATTGCACTGATGCCCAGCGCAGACTTCCGCATGGGCCATTCGATCGATGTCAATGGACGGGGGCTGTTTTAAGGAGACGCCCCCCAAACCCACCGTGTCGATGTCACCCTTTGTGAGACGCAGCACAAAAAAAGAAAAACGGAGCAACACGCCAATTATAAATGGTGATTTGTGTATATATTTGTCTGAAACTGTGCTGCTCATGCTTTTTTCTGGCGGTTTATCTCTGGATCTCTGGAAGTTGGATCTTGAGGTGATGTACACAATATTGTGTTTGTGGATGCATATTCTCTTTCATGTTTGATCCAATCAGTGCAACTTCAAGCAAAAAAACAAACATGACAAAGTGTGGCAAGCAACTACAGTATGTTTTTTAAAGCCCGTTGGCTCCTCCCCCTGAAAACTGCTTGGATATGCTTGGATCGCATGTCATTCCACATCTCACCATCTTCCACCGCTCCGCAGTCGCTTCCAAGCCTGGGAGCGCTGCCATGTTCTTCTTCCGAGGAACCTTGGCCTTGTCGCCGCTCTTCGACGATCCGAGACAGATCGGACCCGAAGGAGCGACTGGGAGGAGAGACTCAGAGGGATCAAGCCGGTCGTCTTCTGATCCTAGGGAAAAAGGTTAATTTACACCGGCATAGACCTCAGACAGCGAGTGTATAGGTTTAAGGGACACGCCACGGACGGCTGTCACCGCAGCACGCAACATCAGACCAGTCCACCGCGCCCGCTTTGCCCTATAAGATTGGCAAGGACCAGCCAAAGCTGCCCGCACGACATTATGAGCATTGCTCCGCAACACGTTGCCATGCACAATAGGACAGCCAGTAATGCCTGGCATGACATGATGCCATTCTGGGCATGACATCACGTCGCCCCTCGCAAGACATGATGTCATCCGTGGCATGACATGATGTCATTCCTGGCATGACATGATGGCACCGCTGGCATGACATGATGCCATTCTGTGCATGACATCACGTCGCCCCTCGCAAGACATGATGTCATCCGTGGCATGACATGATGCCATCCCTGGCATGACATGATGGCACCGCTGACATGATGTCGTTCCTCGCATGACATGACGTCGTCCCTGGCATGACATGATGTCATCCCTCGCATGAACGAAACGCCGATCCAGAGCCAGCACCTGCACCAGCACGGGCAAAAGAAAAGTCAATCCAGAGCCAGACCATTGAGAAGTAAGAGCTCCTGTAGCTTGGGGAAACGCCGACCCAGCACCAGCACGAAATGCGAGCCAGCACCTGCACCAGCACCAGCGCGTCAGCAGCACGGGCAAACAACAAAACGCCGATCCAGCACCAGGACCAGCACGGCAGCAGCGCCCGCAAAACCAAAACGCCGATCTACAGCCAGCAGACCTGCACCAGCATCAGCACGGCGGCAGGACCCGCAAAACCAAAATGCCAATCCAGAGCCACACCATTGAGAAGTTAAAACCCCTATAGCCTGCAGCTATCTGGGGAATAAACAAAAACGTAAACCGTAAACCAATGTCTTTGGCCCCAACACTACGTGTGGTCTCTTTCTGGCTAGAAAACATCCCACGACGCAAGGCTCATCTAGGTCGCTATAGTCTGCGTGTGTTCAGCAACTTCACCTTCCAATTCCCTGCCTGACTGTCTAGCTTTGCAGCCATCTGCATCACAGCCTGACACGTCCGCACATGCTGCAAAGCAAGAGGCTATGAAAACTCCTCTGTAAAACTCAGCACTCGACCCATTCTGCCTTACTGGGCCTTACTAGGCATAGCCTTTCTATGCCTTCCATTTGACATTCTCCGGCCTTCTTGCTCATGCACCCCTCCCGCCAAAGAGGCTCCTCACACGACGTGTCGACCCAAGAGTTCTCACCGAAACATACCGAAACCCACCGAAGCCACCGATCAATCTCCTGTAGGAGCTTGTAAGACCGTGCCTTCTGCGGGTCGGTGACCTGCCAAATGCGAACGTGAATTCTCCAAATCCATAAACATGAGAAGATCATTCTCCAAATCCATACACAACTCACGTCATTGTTCCGAGTTTCTTTTGACTCTTCTCTTTTCGCTCTGAAGCAACATATTATGCATTCACAGGTCCTCATTCACGGAGTATATGTTGAGTGAATGCCAATCTGCTATAGCTGTGCTTCGGACAGAACTTGATTGGTGGAGAGGTCGATGCTCCAACACAAGAGAGGAAACAATGTATCCCCAATGGCCTGACACTCCTCCATCCCATCTGCAGCTAGTCTAGAGATCTCCTGGTCGCAACGCAAGCTGCACACTGTATGTCACATCTGAGGTAGCCTTATCCACCAGTTGAAAGTGCTTCAGCACTGCATCTGGTTCACAAATGTTCACAAGCCAGAAAGCACATCTCAAATCTGGGAGTTGGAGGCCCTCGCTAGTAGGTTGGAGGCCCTCGCTAGTAGGTCGGAGGCCATTCCTATTAGGTTGGAGCCCTTTAGGGTTGAAGGCTTTAATCCATTCACGTCATTATGAGGCCATTGTCATGTCGAGATCATGTCCTCAAAAGCGTTTGAGCGACAACAAATGTTCGGCTGGGCTCCTTGACAAGCTTCTTTCGGATTTCGGATGCGATCTGCCGTGGGCTGATTGCAGAAAGGAGGGAAAGCACAAGGGCACACATATAATATATTACATTGTATGATAGTGTTACTAGATATGATACAAGTATATATTAATTATAGTATATAGTAATTGTACAGTATTGAAAGGTGATGAGTGTATATGATGAGGCTTGCATGGGCCTTTGTAGATCTTCATACATTTTCCAGCACAAACAAACCATTTCAGCCTCCTGCAGCTCGGCCATGTGGTCCTGGTACTGCGCATTTCTCACTTGTCAGTGCTTTGGTCAACCGCACAAAGGGAGCCCTCCTCTGGCACGTTGCGTCTGCTCAGCCCTGTGATGTCAGCTTGGATCCCTATGAGATACCATAGCTCCTGGCCGCACAGAATGGCAAGTTCTGAAAAAGATCTTCTGCATTCGACATACTAGTATTCTGAATTCTAGCGAACTATGGTCACAAAATGTCGCAAGTTCAAAAACGACAACAACTCGACCGCCTCGTCAGTCTCCACATCTACAGCAATGGTCAAACCACGCAAGTCTAGAAGATTTATGAACCTTGGAACACCAGGGCTGGACCAGTTTACAGAGAGGAAACGACACGTCTTTGCATCATGTCTCTTGAGCTCTCCACATTTGTCCCGATTTCTTCCGATTTGGAAGAAGGGCCGTGAAAGCTCCACCACTTTCACTTGCCAAACGGAGTCCAACCAGATCCGACGGGGAGATGGGGCCTCGAGGCGCTCATTCAAGCGAAACGGAAGGCACTTAGCCTTGCGCGCTGCTCGCGCGCAGTGCTCGCGTCGGGCGACGCGACGACGAAGTCGGTGTCGACTGGGTCCAACTGGGGCGACCACAACCCTGATTCAGGAAGCGACAATTGGCCCCTAAGATTTCACTCCTGACAGGTGAAGAACTGAAGAACTGTGAAGGTCCGGCATGACTCAACAGGCAATAAAATGACAAGCTGCTTAAACAATATTAACAACATGAAACATATCATGAAATCAAGTGCACACAAAGCTTCAACTTGGCAGCCCAAGCCTTTTGAAGCCCGTCATGGTTTCAAACGCTTCGGAGACAGCAATGAGAGGGAAATCAATGCCTAAGTCATCAGGTACGTGCAATGGCATATGATTGCAGATTTATGAGTGGCTGAGATGCTGGCCCCGTGGATCAGCAACGCTCACACAGAATTTGCAGGACTGAACCTACAAGTTCACAAGCTCCAAAGAAAAATCCCAACCATATCCTCATCCATCCATCTTCCTAGCATGTAAAAAATTGTCCTTTCCATTTCCTCATCTTTCCAAAACTGCTTTAGGAGCCAGGCTGCACCCATGATCGCCTTTTTCACGATGGTTTGGGACACCTGGGCAAACAGGCGACGTACTGAGGCCGCTCCACGTGCTGGGCTTCTGCAGCCCTGACAACTGCAGAAATGATCTCGTCAATGTCTCCAGGCTGTGTTTCCTGTGGCAATCAAGTTGGTTGGACAAGCTGCCAAGAAAATCTCCAAAAGCCAAATCTCCAAGCATGCTGTTTTCTGAAGGTGTCGAATCTTTGCTACCTGGGGAGCGGCCGCGGCAGTCGGCTGAAGCTGGGAGGCCTGGCAGAGAACCCCAGCAGGTCATCATGAGTCCTCATGACATGATCGAGTGTAGTCTGTTATGATATTGAGATGTCGATGCATCACCAAATGTGTACCTTTGGGGTGCAATGCTCTATTTTCCTGGCTCTTCCTTGTCATTAGCAGGGCGCTTTTGCGCATAGCTTAGCATTGGTGCGGCCAACCAACTTCCTGGCGGAAACGCGTGCCCTTCAAGGCATTGACAGCTGAAACAACTGTTCACAAAATGACTCAACTCGAGAGTACAATGATTGCATGATTGTACCAAAAATTTGATCCAAGAAGTAGAAAACGAAGCTATTCCATGCTATTCCCTTTGCCTCCCAGCGCGAATTTGGCTCCCAGGAAGCATGGAGTTCAGGCTCTCCAGAAGCCCTGGGAAAGCAAAAGACCGAGAGGAGTGACAGTCTGATGTTCAAGAGTCTGGAGGCTGTCTAATCTTTACGAATATGTTCTAATTATTTGCTAAGTTTGGAAAACTGATATCTTATATTTACTCACAATAACTACGAAGCCGTTGAGCAATCATGCTACAATACGTATTAAAGACCCTCACTCTTTCTCTTGCTCATCACAGTGGCGTTCATCCCCGCTTTTCACTATATATATATATAATCTATACACCGTATACTGTCAAAAACTGAAGTTGCTCAAACTCTCAGATCTCCAAATATCAAAAAAGACTAATCAAAGAAATACGTTGAGGCTTACTAGGGTGGAGGCCATCGCTAGGTTGGTCCTCTTGGTCCTACCCTTCGGACCTCAGACCGGGCCTTAGAATTACAAGCGGCCAATCGCAGATTCCATTCTCACTCACCTGAGGAGTTTGATGTAAGAACCGTTTTGAGCGGACAAGTTGTTTGTTGACATGGGAGAGTTGCAGCATGAGAAGACCGCCTCCACTGAGTTTTGGAGTTCAATAAGTGAACCAAAGGCCCACAACATCAAGTAACGCTTCAACTTCCTGTCAAGCTTTGATTCTAAGCAAAAGACCTGGCTTTGTCCAGCGGGTCTCCTCCAGGGGTACGGGATGCCATGCATCAAAAATCAGAAAAAGCCACACAGCACTCCTTCGTGACTGTATTGTAATAGAAGTTCCTCCCACTGGATGGGTCGTTGTGCTCTTCCCAATTCGGTGGAAGTCCTCCTGGTGCCGCTGGAGCTGCTGGTGCTGCTAA